GGGAGTCGGGATAGAGAAGGAGGAAGGAGGGATAGGGGAGATTGGAGGCGATGGATGGGGAGGGGGAGAGGCTGAGATGGGAGTCGGGATAGAGAAGGGGGAAGGAGGGATAGGGGAGGTCGGCGACGGAAGGGGAGGTCGGCGACGGAAGGGTCGGCGAGGCAGAGAGAGAGAGAGAGGGAAAGGGAGAGAGAGGTCTTGCACTTCCCCCTCCTCCCCCCCCCCTCTTTGTTGCTTGCCCGATATGCCAATGTGGCCATGGCATGCCATGCTTGAATAACTGCAAATGTCAGCCTGCTTTCCTGCTGGCATGTCAGTGACATGCCAGGTGTTGTCACTGTTTCCAGGAAGCTGTCATGGAAAGTATGTGTGTGTCTACTTTGTGGACTGTGCCTGATCCCATCACACGCCACATCCCCTCCATTCATATCCCACATGCAACATTGGCCATTCTCCGGGCTGCACCCTTAAACGGATCTCCTCCATGCTCACCCGATGAGCAACACGCAGCAGCCTGCGGTGGAGAATAGACTCTCACATATGGTTGCACAGCCACCAACCGCCAATGCTGCCGGCCGTCTTGCACCCTACCAGTAGGGTCAACCGGCCGGCGGTCTGCCGACCAGTCTGCATAGGCCCATCCGCTGATTGTTTTTCAAATCTGAGTTTGGGATGTGCTGCGCTTGCTGAGTACAACTCAAATCCGCTGAGAAACTTTTGGGGTGGTGGGGGGTGTCACAGAGGGGTTATGGGGGGGCTATAGGGGGTCATGGGGGGTTTATAGGGGGAGTACAGGGGTTTATCGCGGGGGTATGAAGGTGTTGGGGGGTGGTATGGGGGTGTTGGTGGGGGCAGTATGGGGGCATTGGTGGTCATGGACCTCGCAAAGGAAAAAAAAAACGAAACAAATTGCGGGGTGCCGACCGACTGCTGACCAGGACGGGTCAAACGGTCGGCTGGTCGGCAGCTGACCAATCCAAGGGCACCAACCGTCGGCGTGACTACTCTGACTCTTACATTGACCACCTACAGTGCACCTTGCTGAAGGGTTATCCCCGCCATGGTGAGCTGTTGCAGACCAGATCTTGCAACAGCTAAACACCCTTACTTTGGATCAGGCCTCATCATCGCCTGCCCATAGAGAGGAAACACCGGCTCCGGAAGCCCAAGAGACTTGCTCATTGTCACATTGTGATGGCCCACCTGAGATTCGCTAGCATGTGATTGGCATGCTTTGTGCCATGAAGATTATGAAGATCTAGCCCATGCAAGTCTTTGTTTTCATACATATGATCACAGTCAACATCATACCAATGTACAACACGACATGGCACATCGTATTTGTACACAGGAGGTGGAACCCAGAACAGCAATGCCTGTACGATTGTGGTCGGCGTGCCTCTCTGTTCCTAGCATGTAGGAGCAGTGTACCTATGACATCTGTCTACACAGTGTCATTCAATGCAGCAACTGCAACTGCGAGAATTGAATGCGGTGGTTCCACAGTCGGCACCCGAACTGGTCCTGTCCGGTCCGCAGGGGTGGCCACTTACCATTGGCAGCGCCCGGCGCCTGCTCCTCAACTCGAATTTCTGTGCCACCCGAACACCGACTGGCCACTTGTGTCATTCCCGTTCCTTCTGGAACCTGAGCACTGACTGGCGCTGAGTACTGAGAACCCTGTAAGTTTGTCATTGACCTCTGTTCTATTTTTTGTCCCTCCACTTCCTTCCTCTTCCTCTTCTCCCTCCTCCCTCCCCTTGTGTAGCACTACTAAATGCATATGAATAAGCATCATTAAGAGAACAGACAAATATAAGCCGAAGGTGCACTAAAGTAACTTTCCCCCTTACTCTGCATCCTTTCATAGGGTGCAAATGGGCCGGTATGGCACACGGGAATGAGGGAAGCTGGTGCTGAACCGCAATCAATGAGGCGAGCCTTGTACCTGAGAGGCAGAGTAAAACGGGAGCTGCAAGAAGAAATAAAAGAGAAACCCCAAAAAAAGGCAAAAGTAGTAAAAAGTACTGAAAATGAAGAAAGTACTGTACAACAGGGTTGCATCGGCGCCGACCGCCGACCCCGACCGCCGACCGTTTTGTCCCGACCGATCGGGGCCGACCGGTCGGCGGTCCGCCGACCCGTCAGAAAACAGGCTTACGCTGTTTTTTTTTTTTTTTTT